TATCCTCTGAGCTGCAGAACAGAATGTATTTTTAAATTTCAAAATAATCCAATTCTGCCTACTTGATTTTACGACGTCTGCTCGACTTTATTTAAGTGTTCAACAGAAATTGTCCCACTGCTGTAAAAAATGAACGTTTTCCGAGTCGCATTTGTTTACATCTCACATTTTCAGAAGAAATAAAAGACGTCATTTCTGCGTGCGTTTTCGAAGGAAAAAACGTCGTCATAGTATAAAGTATTCGATACGTTTTCGTTTTTCTCGTTTCTTTCTTTCTTTTAAAACTGGCTGCCGAAATTTGATATTTTCTTCAAGAGCACAAAGAATTTTTATTGATTAGACAAAATTCTCCATGTAGGAAATAGAACTGATGTAGCACTATACAGACCAGGAAAAGCCGCAAAATATGGTCATTTGTCAGCCACCTTTGCTTTTTTGTAAACCGGAGAAAAGCCTTGCTAGGCCCGAACCATAGATTTTGCAGATGTCGCTTGGATCCAGTTTTGTAGAGGACAGTTTGAACTATAAATTCAACGGAAGAAACAGCATATTTTTATGTTACTATGACGTGGTTTTTCAAAGATCCTCCAAAAATCCGATCTTTGAAATTTTTCAAAAATTATTTCTGCCTAAGCAAAGATGCGTACAAGTGTTGGCTATCGAATACCGAAAATTGTTGGCTTGTACCTCCTTCTTGCCAAAAGTTATTCAAAAACTAACCGACTGTCTTGTATTTTGAAGCCGATAGTAGTATATAACTGCTTGAAGACATGGAAATATAACTACAAAAGCATGTAACTTTAATTAATAATGTTTAAAGACTAGGTTTTACTACCTGCATATGCCGGCATATGTGCAGCAGAAGATCGGTACATGTTTAACTTGACTTCCTAACCGATACACTTCCATTTGATATACGACAAGTTCCTGTTAAGTGAACTTCGAAAAACCTGTCTCCAGAGACCTCTTCCAGAGCCCTATGGCTGAAAGGTTGAGTTATGGCCAAGAAAATTGAGAATTATGGGCCGAATTCCGGCTTTTTCGCCTCTAATTTAGAAAACGAAATTTTCTCAGCAACGAAACAAAATTTAGAAAGGACGAAAATATTTTTAAGCTGGACTCACGGCGAATACAGTGCCGCTGAGACAACGGTTCCATCCGTTGACAGAAAAAACTGGATAGGTTTACAAAATGACTCACGCTTCTTTCCAGTGGTCTGTTCGAACGTCCATGGTGGACAGACGTTTACCTTCGAAATGGATTTAAGAAAGTTTCAAAAAATTAAGAACTAACATATTCTTGATCATCTGGAAAAATTCCATCGATTGGTGTATAATAAGGCCGAAAAAAAGACTTTTGCTACAAGTTTGCATTTTGCGTTCATATCTTACTGTTCTTTGTCTATTGCATATCTGGCTTATATATTAGATATCTGTGAATTAAAAAAAGAGAGACAAATATGCCTAACACCGCAGACAAACGAACAGAAAGATATGCGTGTGCTTAATTATGACAGCTTACATAAGTCAAAAACAGATAGAAGCTGGACAACAACAGCAAAAAAGAATTGATGATGAAGTACAGCGTATTGGTGTGCACAGCAGAACACACAGAAACTCGTGATGGTTGGGCAATGCTTAACATTCTACATGTTTCTGAAATGGAGTTAGAAAATGTTGCAAAAAAGTATGATTTAGAAAATGATTCTCAAACACGGCGTTTTTGTGAGTTTATATCGATTGCAGCAAATTTCGCCTCATTGAAATTTGCTGAACGTTTACCAAACATTCCTGAACTGATCGATAGTATTAAAGAATTAATTATTGAAATGGTCAAAGAAGTTAAAGATTTTGCCGATACGGCTGCTGAATTTGAGAATATTATACAATGTTACATAAGACTGGTTTTGAGTACAAAGCATAATATGAAAATGATGGTACCACATCTAGATGAAGCCAAAACTCATATGAAAGTTACGGTTGATACGTTAGCACCTGAATCAAGTGAACCGTCAGTTCAGCGTGACAAAGATGATATACAAATTGCCTTACGAGGCATGTCTTCTAGTGTAAGAAAGCTGCTTGAATTAGCTCAATCATCTAAAGAGAAGAGTGATAAGCTTGACGAGAGAATTGCCGCGATGAAACGTAATGTTCAAAATAAAAAACTCATTATGGAAGGTCGAATAGATTTTAGTGAAAGTTCTCCTATGTTAGGCCTGGGATTAGGTATTTTCGCCGGTAGTTTCAAACGAATAGATAAAGAAAAACCAACGCTCTTTTCGTCGTTTAAACGACAAAAAATAGTTACAGTGAACGAAAGGGGGCAAAATCGCAAGGTAAAGTATCAAGAAGTATCAAAAAAGTATCAAGTTAATTCGCGCTCATATAAAAGGTCACAGTAAAATCAGTCATCGCTAAGCATTATGAAAGCACAAGACACGGGATAACATCAAATGATTTTCGTATTCTTCTCACTGAACAACATAGATATAAACTTTTAATAAACGAATCTTTGACGATACGTGATCAAGCCCCAGTCTGAACGCAACAGATCGATCCGTGACTTTATACGTAAGTTAAAAACGAATGATAAAAGAAAATGATTGATACTTTTAAAAAAAAATATTAAAATACAGGCAGGAAACACGTTACTTAGATTAAAATAAAGTAGGAAAACGCTAAAAAACGCAATTATTCTCATCATTTTTTAAGGATTCATTTTTATTAATTTTATTTTTAAGTTTAAGTGTCTCTTCGTACACTTACCACGGTTTATTTTTATTTTCTGTTTCGACTGAAAGAATGATGAATCAATCATAGTCAAAAAATCTTTAACTGAAAGCTATTTTGAGAGTATACGTCTTTCCTGTAATTAACACCAAACAAGTCCATTAATAAACTCTCTTTTATTACTCGTTTTGTTGCCTTAGATTCAATCGCCAACACTTCTGAGTTCCAGTTGTTATTGTGCCCCTTCTGGAACCAACCAACAGTGAGCAATTCTCGAAAAGCCTTGTCAAAAAAAAGGCTTTCTTATGTCCACTCTCTCGCTTACAGATTTCTCGACTAGTCTAATCAATATAGATTCCATCACAATCATAACAGTCTTATCTATAGACCACTCTTTTTGAATCTTTATGTTTCTATCTAAATGTTGAGTTGAGCATATGTTACAAACGGTTACTAGATTTGGAGGCAAAAATCGCCTGTTTCTACGGGTGTTTGATAACAGTCCGCCCAGGCAGACGTTTTTTTAGACCAAACGCGCCTTTTTGCACCAGCAACGCGTTTGAAAAACTTTTCTTACACCTGAAACGCTTTTAGATGCGTTAATCGGTGATAAATGCGTTTAAGCGCGTTTGGTCAGCTTCAAAAACTGAAGTGTCAAAACGCTGTGAAAATAAACGCGTTTTGGCGCGTTCTAATGACTAACACGCTCGAACGTTAATGTCTCTCAAACGCATTAGTAATCAACGCGTTTCGCATCGTAATTCAACACCTTTAACGCATCTAAACGCGTTTGGAAGCATTTCGTAGAGAGCAAAACAAAAAATTTGCATCACTCTAAGAAACCTTGCAATTTTGCCCCCTTTCGTTCACTGTAACTATTTTTTGTCATTTAAACGACGAAAAGAGCGTTGATTTTTCTTTATCTATTCGTTTGAAAAGGCGTTTTTCGAAATTTCGGCTCTCCTCTATTGCTCCGTTCCCTATCCCCTTTCTATTCCTCTGTTCCGCTATCCTCTATTCTTCGAACTATAATAATTTTTATATAAATGCATACAGGAACTGCATTTTCTTTTCCAGCTGATTTGATTAATCTTCCAAAGACTATTAACCGCTATGTTGCAACATATTATTCTTTTATCAACCTGTGAAAAACACACCGAGTACTTCCAGGAGTAAAAAACTTGACAAAAAAAAACGGTTTCAAAACCAACGCTATTTTTTGTCGTTTAAACGACGAAAAAAGCGTTGGTTTTTCTTCATCTATTCGTTTGAAAAGGCGTTTTTCGGAATTTCGCAACACGTTACTTTTACGTTAAAAACGTAAAAAAAACGCATTTTCAAACGTTCTAGAACGCATTTCGGATGAAACATTTAACGCGTTTTTGGATCGTTAAAAACGGAATAAAAACGCGTGAGAACAGAAAATTTTGGTTAAGCCAAAGATCAGACTTGTTCTAAAAATAGTTGAGAGGCTGTAATAAAGGAAGTACAAAACTGATGATCTAAAAATGAAAAAGAACGACAAGAAGAGATAGTTCTTCGATATTTCGATTGTGCTTATATAGTCGACCTCGAATTTTTTTCTTTTAATAAACACGTTTAGAAATGACACGTTAAAGCACGTTTTTATATAAAATAAACGCGTGTCAACGGCCATTTTAAAGTCGATAGAAAACGCGTTCCACTAAAACGCCAGAAAATCGTTAATTTAACGATCGTTCGATAACGGGTTCGAAAAAGACGCGTTTTTTGTGCCGTTTCTACCGATCTTTTTTCGCCTGGGCTGTGGGGTAAAAAGAGTCGGTGCTCGAAATTTTCTTCGTAATTTCTATTTCTCATTCAGTTTTAATTGAACAAATTCGATATTAACTACGTTCGCAGAGATTTTACCCGTGTCGGTCTTTGACCGGTTGATTTCTGAAACACCAGCACTTTGTCGAAAATGTATTTGCTGACCTAAGTAAAAACAAACTCTTCATATTTCATATTAAGATAGGTTTTCTCCTTTTTGTCAATAGTCTTGGCGAGCAGGACTGATAATCGCTACTATGTGAATATTTCGTGCGTTTTTCTTTCTTTTTTCATGTTTGTTGCACTGCTATCGGAGCCAGAATAGAAGGCCGATGATTATTTTTTAAATAACTCAAAAGGAATAAAGGATAGAGACTTGCGATTTTCATCGTTTGCTAGCGAAGATCTGAAGCTATGCTCGCATCAACGACGACGAATTTTGGAAAAGTTTCAAAGATCCGTTTTCCAGGGGATCTATGGAAAACCAGTTAGATTCTCTGAAAACAGACATGAAAATCTATGGATTATTTCCATAGATGTATAGTCTGAAATGCCGTCAACTAAACTGGATCTAATGACAGCTTGGAAATCCATGTTTCGAGAACTATTTTCTGAAGCCTTAGTACTCCTCTGCCGTTAGGCTTTTACATTCACACGCGCGCCAACTCACTTTCTTACACACAGACACGGACTGGAAAAAATTCACAACGCACCGAAGAGCCCAAGTTTGCAACAATTATAGCGCAGCTCTTATGTTATAAAAATTTCAGACTTTAGAATTATGTTCTTCACAAGAAAATGAATTTTATATTTTTCATGGAATTTTGGCACTGTTTTGAGACCTGCGACCAAAAAAAGGTTTTTTTCAGTTTCAAATCTGTTTTAGCACTGAAAAATTCGTAGAACGATTTGTTAGCTCTACTTGGATACTTTTAAGAGCCAACATTGTTTGATTATACGATTAGGTTTTTTCCGTTTGCAAGTTTCAAAACAGTGTCAAAATTCCATCAAAACTAAAATTCATTTTCTTGTGAAGAACATAATTTTAAAGTCTGAAATTTTTATAACATAAGAGCTACAGCTAGCGCTTTGTTGCAAGCTTGAGCTCTTCGGTGCGTTAGAATAGCCAGTTATAGTGGCCATACCGAAAACTGAAGTTTTATTAAATCGATCATAACTCGGAAGAGAAGCCGTACGGGCCCACATCCTTTTAGCGTTTTTATCAGGATAGTGTCTTTTGTCAACTGGTATAATATCATCCGAATGTTCCCTCGTCAGTCATTAAATCATTTACCAACTCTGATAAGATAATCGAAATATTTCATGTTCAAAAAATTCGGATTTTAAGTTTACTTCACAAAATACAGGAATGTTGTTGCAAAGCTATTAATACTAATAAAGTGGCGAACTATTCAGCCCACTAATGCAATAACCTTTTGAAAATGAACAACAACATAAATAAATACATCAATGATAAATTAAAAAAGAAAAGAAAAAGAAACGCAAGAAAAGTAGAATACGTGC